ACCGCTGCCGCACCGCTGCCGCACCGCTGCCGCACCGCTGCCGCCATGGCGGTGGCGGCGCGGCAGCGGCAGATTTTTCCCAAAAACTATCGCGGCGCGGCGGCGGCGCGGGAGAGATTTTCATTTTACCGTCGCGGCAGCGGCGCGGCGGCGTCAGCTTTTTTAGGAAAAAATTTCAAAAATCCGTAAATTTGCACAGAATCTGCATGTTTGGGTCTCCTATACTGTAAGACTTAACGAATCTGATCGATTAGCGGCATCAGTTCTATTTCAAACTAGTCACAGCCTTCAAAATCAAAAATTTTTTTCGAATATGATCGCGGCGGCGGCAATTTTTTTTTATAGCGCGTCGCGGCGCGGCAGCGGTAGATTTTGAGCAGTGATGGACATCTCTGATGTCTTACCATGAAATCGTACAATAATTTTGCAATTCACTCGTATACATACTGTGTAGTTGTAATACTCTCCTTTTTCGTTCTCTTCTCGTTTCTCAACACTCGTTCCTCGCTTGTTTGATCAGCAGAGGTAACGTGTTCAAGATTCAAGGTTCTTCACCCTTGAATTTTCTTTATTAAATGAGTTCAATCATGTACTCGCAAAAACAAAAAAGATACAATGATTTCAATAAGAACAGAAAGGGATTTAATGATAGATGTATAACAACAGATGAAGATATCAATTCAAGTACAATAAGCAAAAATCAGTTTTCAACAACATTAATTGAAGAATCACCCAACACCATATCCAACAATACACAACAGGCTCAAGTTATTAATCTTAATGGCAAATTATATGTTCCAGTGCATCAAGATCACCTTTTACATGGAAATAAAACAAACAAACATGCTTACAATGAAGCTTCATCAATAAATATGATGAATCATCATACGAATAACAACTTGAATCATAATTATGGTACTGCTATTATAACACCTGATAACTACTACCATCTTCCGGAAAAGTCAAACTCAACTCCCAAGAGAAGTAGAGATCAATTAAATAAATCAAATGAGCAGAAGGAAAAACCTAGACATGAAGATGAAAATTATCGGCAACAAACAAATAGGTCCTCGCCTAAAGGTAGTACACCATCTCAAGGTTCAAATTTAAAGATGATGTCTTCTAATTATTGTCAAACTACGACAACAACAAAAACAAATATCAACAAATCATATGACATTCCAATTGATCAATTGAAAAGAGCAGTTGGTTGTAATCTCCCCTGCTTTGTGATCCAGTTTGACAGTAGCATTGCTTTACGTAATCTTCCGTCAGCAATTATTGCTTGTGATTTAATTAAAGACCATTTTAACAAAAACAACATCGATATAAATGGTTTTTCGGTTGCTCTGTTTGTGGGACATCGTTTAAAGATAGCTGTCAATAACATGGAAGATTATGCAACACTTGTCCGAACGGACAAATGGCCATCATCAATTAATGGAAAGAAAATAGAAGTGATCAAACCAAAATTTGTTCCTGAATGCTTTACACTGGTAGTACGATATGTTCCCCTGGACCTGTCAATTCAAGATGTTGCTAATGAAATTAAACGCTCAATCAATTCGGCCGGCAATTTCAAACAAATTATGTATTCATTTAATCGTCCCAACAAAGATATAAGATTTACAGTTTCAGATTTAGTTGAATACGAAGGTGCATTAAAATTAGGTCGCTTAAATATTGCAAATCGCCTTCATCCAATTACAAGATATCTGCCAGCGAACAAATTAACTTTTTGCACCAATTGCTGGCAAATCGGTCATTTACGTTCTTCTTGTAATTCAAATGTTCGTAAATGTCGAATTTGCCTTGGAGTTTTCGATCGAGATCATTTTAGCATGTGCTCGGGTATTCCTCGTTGTGCACAATGCGGGCTTGATCATCATTCACTCGATCCCAAATGTGAATATATACAAAATTATCGACAAAAACTCAATCAAGAAGTAAAACAAGCAGTTATCGATGGTACAGTTAATAGAAGAACTGTTCAACTCCATCATCACCAACATCAAATACCATATTCAAAATCAAATTATGATATTGATTATCCTTCATTATCGACCAATAACAATAACGTTAAAATGTTAGATAATAATACATGGCCACGTACAAACTCCCAATCAATAACAAACAACAGTATCAGGTCCAGTACTTCAATTACTTCAATGCTGATAAAGATGGACCAAGATTTTAAAAATGAAATCCATTCCATTAAAGAATTAATTTTGAAAACACTAGATGAAAAAATTAACATTAACTCAAGCAATATTCAATTACATCAAGTTAGCTTGTGCACAATTAACTCAACAATCACAAAAATTTTACAAAATGTAGTACTCCCATTGATAAACCTTATTCCAAATTCGAAGCGGGAAACGAAACAACAAATATCTTCTGCTCTTCAAGAACTGGAAGTTCCGTTTCGTATACATGCAGATCATATGCGAATGAATTTTAACATTGGTTACAACAAACAAGAATCCAACAATATTACTTCAGCAGTACCTTTTATTAACAATATTAATCGAAACCAACCATCATCGTTATCACCATCAAATGATATACCAACCTTAATAGAAGATTCGGACCGGATGGTAGATGATAATTAGTAACAATGACAATATCTATTTTAAATGTTAATGCAAGTGCTTTTTATCCTCATTCAGTAGTAGATAAGGTTGAAAAAGATATTGAACGACTAAGAATCTGGAGGTTTTCCGAGAAGATGATAGAAAAAATATCAAATTATTTAACAGAGTGGCACTCTATGTCCTTGAATGTATTATTGCAACATTGGGAACGCGTTCACATGGACGTTAAAAGTTTTAATTCTTCCTCCTTTGTAGATCCATTAAAAATTTGTTTATATAATGTAGAAGGTTGGAAAACACGTAGATTAGAAGTAATCGATCTAATTTATTCGGTAGAGACCTCTATATGCATATTTACGGAAGTTGGTGAACAAGGACATGATTTTAAAATTCCCGATTATAACACATTCTATCAAGCTGGGCTGAATAGATCCGGTGGTGTTTGTATATGGGCAATTTCACGAAGAATAGGACAAATTTCGTGTTTTTTAAAAGTTAAAGCTGAATTGCGATCGCACAATACATATATAGTCTGTAGTCTCTAGTGTACGAAAATGATGTTTGTTTTTCGTTTGCATGTCTTTAAACGCCAGAAAAAAGCTCGTGTTCTACAGATGTCGTTAAGTTACGAAAACTCACATATCTCTATGCTAAATGAATAGGTCGCTCTGGCAAAAAGACAAGAGCTGTAGTCATTTTTTTTTGCATGGATTTGGAGCTTCTTCGTTGCTGTTTCTTACTATGCAAGAAAGAAAAAAAAATCACTTCGTTCTCTTGAAGATCACTTAATCTTAAGTCTGTTCGTTTTCCTGTCACGTCCCTAACGAAATTTTAAATAATTTTTTTTTTCTTTCAAATTAACCGTCCATCAAGTTTTAAACTTTTTCACATAAACATAGTTTCACGTGCTGAGTATATGTGTAGTATTTTCTATTTTTTTTTCTATTCTGTTTCTGGACCGTATATATAAATTTAAACTAAGTCACGTCCCTAACGATTTTTCACCATCAATATTAATAGAAGTCAATCACGTGAAATCACACTTTCTAATACATCATAGTCGTTTTTTTGTACTAATCGATAATAACAATGCCTTTGTCATCAGCCGAACGGTTTCGTCGATACATGGCTAAACTGAAACGTGAAGAAAATCAATCGTTATTGAAAAAATTTCAAGAAAAAGATGCTGCTCGACATCGAAAAAGTCGAAAAATGGACAAACAAGATCCAGATAAAATTGCGAAAATTCGTGAACAAAATCGAGCACGACAAGTCAAACGTCGATTGAAGTTGGCATCTCAAAAACTTGGCTCACAATTAAATCAATTATCTATGTCGTCGCCTTCAACAGCACCAAAATCCACGTACAAATCTGTTCAAAGTTTAGCCAAGGCTGTTCATCGTACAGAACGAGCTCTTCCAGCTAGTCCAAGAAGAAAAGAAGAAATCATTCGACAATTGGCTGTAAAACATGGAATAATTGCAAAATCTTTGGCACCACCAAAACCATCAAAAACACCTGGACATAGTCTTCCTGAATCAACTATAAATAATGTTGTGAAATTTTATCAATTGAATGAAATTAGTAGCACTGCTCCTGGTAAGAAAGATGTGGTTATCATCAGATCACCCGATGGCACAAAAGCCAAAATTCAAAAACGATATCTTGTTATGACGGTCAGAGAAGTTTATGAACAATTTAAACTTATGTATCCAAATGAGAAAATTGGTTCAACTTCATTCAGTTTACTCCGTCCAAAACACGTTTTACCGATGGCTGATATTCCACAAAATGTTTGTCTTTGTAAGTATCACACAAATATCGATTTATTGTTAACAGCTTTGAGTCCGATACTGAATACACCAAATCTCACATCACATTTTCGTGAAGCTGTCGTTTGTGATAGCAATGATGAGAAATGTATGTCATCAAAATGTAACCAATGTGGCAATTTGGAAAAATTCGACGATTTATATCAATGCGATGATGAACAAGGTGGTGAAAGTTTATCTTATTTTCAATGGGAAACAATTGAATCAAAGATTGTTAAAGTAGAAAAATCTGGTACAGTCAAAGATGCAATTAAAGATTTAAAAAACCAAACGAAGAATTTCCTGATGCATAGCTTTATTACTCATGTTCAATATGTACATTTTCAGGAATGTCAAGAAAATGCAAGCCCAACGTCAATTACTTTACAAGTCGATTTTTCAGAAAATTACCGTACAACATATCAAGATGAAATTCAAAATGCATTTTTCAATTATAATCAAGTTGGATTATTTACTGCTGTTGCTTGGTTTGGCCATGATTCCGATGTTGTAAGTTATGCATTAGTTTCCGATGATGTATCTCATGATAAATATTCAATCCATGTCTGTTTAACACGAATTATTACAGAATTGAAAAAAACGTTTTCTTCATTGGAAACCGTGAATATTTTTTCAGACGGTGCAGCTGCACAATTTAAACAACGTTTTTCGTTTGCAAACTTAACACTTTTGTCAAAAGATCATAATGTCAATTTGATCTGGAATTTTTTTTCAACTGGACATGGACGTGGAGCAGTTGATGGAGTTGGTGGTACGGTAAAACGATTGGTGTGGAGAGGTGTAATGGCTAAACAATGTGTTATACGTAATGCATATGATTTTGTCCAGTATGCAACTGCAGTTATTACAGATATTAATATTATACTTATCGATGCACAGCATATCAAAGCTCAATCATCATTACTCAATCAACGATGGGATGAAATTCGAGCTATTCCAGATACATTAAAAATACATTATGTTAAATCATTATCACCTTATAATGTCGAAGTAAGACTATTTAGTAAGTCGAATGAGAAAAAAACATTCTGCTTGAAACCATAAAAAAGAACATTTCGCTTTTCGATATTAGCCATTCTAAACAAGCCTTTTTCTGTTTTTGTCTGAAAAAAATTTTTCTTGTTTCGTTTTCACGTTTTATAGTTTTCTTTGAAAAAGCTTAAAAATTTGCCTTAAAAAACCAAAAGTTTCGAAAAGTAAAAATATGTATATTTCTCTAGTTCGATATTGTGACATTGTAGCTGTGTGTTCTTATTTACTGTTTTGAACAAACTATAGCGAAAACAAAAATAAAACGTTCGAAAAACAAAAACATGTATATTTCTCTACTTCGATATTGTAATGTTATGTCTTTCTGCTGTTATTTACTGTTTCGAACAAACTATAGCCCAAAAACAAACAGAAAACGAAGAAAATAATTAAGAAAATTTATAATAGAAAGATTTCTCAGTTTTTTTAAACGAATTTCGTGCAAAACGTGTGACAAACACCTAGGCTTCCTAGAAATCTCATAAATAAAAATTAAGATTTTTCATAGGCGTTCTCGAACGAGCATAGTTTGAAGAATTGAAATCCCACGTTTTGTCATAAATGAATGAACATTTACAGAGAAGAACTGTTATTATTCGTACTCGGTCACGTCCCTAACGAATTTGTCACGTCCCTAACAAAAAGTAAATCAGAGTTTTTGAAAAATCTAGGCATACTGAGGAAAAACTTCAGATAGAAGTTTTGTACAATCGAAGGTCGTCTATATCATGCACTATTTAGTTTTCAAGAATACTACCTCAATTCGCAGATTTTTTGAGCTGAAGTACTCACAGTGAAAGTTGATGTCTTTTTTTTGGTCACGTCCCTAACGCTATTTTTTGGTAATAACTTCTCTGAGCCAAGGGATATACGGCTGAATTTTTCAGGCTAGCTAGAGTAACTCAATATGCTTATGGCATAAAAAAATCAGCTCTAGAGGAGTTCATTATCCAGAGATATAAGCATTTGAATTTTGTGAAGTCACGTCCCTAACAAATGAAATTGCCCATATATAGCTTTTACGATCTTCACAAAAAGGTGTCTCCCTTTATAAATACCTAATGTGTCGAAAATTTGTTTTTTTCTAAAAATAAAACTATTGAAGTGTCTACTTAATGATTTAAGCTTTCTATCCTATCCACATGTATTCTTTCTCCTTGTTTTTTTTTTCATTATTACCTGTTTGCTTTCTTTATTAAAGTATCTTTTGTTCTTTTATTTCAACAAGGCCATTATGCATTACAACAGCAAAAAATGTCTTTGAAGAAACACGATATTAAGATATTTGAGCACTAAAATTAATTATATATGAAATAAACTCAAATGTGTGATTGAAGATCAGATTGTAAGTTATATTACTGGTGAACGAAAACAAAACTCATGCTTACGAACACATTTCCGGCTTCCTTTTTAACCTGATGGTGTTCTACTGTTGCATGAACGTCATGGAGTGCCTTCCACATTGTACTCAATATTTGGCATTTACTATTGGACATTTTGAGTTGAATTTACAAAAGTTTTTAAATGTATATCGTTAGTATCTAACGGCTTTAGATACTAAAAATCATTTCTTTTTTAAGATATTATTTTCAAACTTTTATTGAAACAATTTCAATCGATTAAACTTACTATAATTTATTTTTCTTCACTCTGTGCTCACTTGTCTTACCTCTTTGTAATCGTTTCACATAATATTAATTTAGTACTTAAATCTGTTAATTTGTCATGTTCAAAGTCGCTATTGTTTTCTAAAATAGATCAATAAAAATCATTATCGACATTATTATAATACTATCTTTTCAGGTCATTAAACAGAAATACAAAGATTCTTTTGAATCAATGATCTCGTAAATCATGTTATCCAGACAAAAAAATATCAAGCAACTTTTTAGTTTACTCTGTTTATCTTTATCCTTTCAGAAAACGGTCTTACAAGTGTGAGGATATATCCTTGACTTAGAATTTTATTGTCACTATGCTCTTTTCTATTAGACTACGTAATATAAGAGCATTCAATATGCAAATTTCAGAAAATGAATGCGTTTTTTTTTCACTGACTCCTTTATATTCAAAATTTCATAGTAAAGAAATTAGTGTCTGTCTAAAACTTAAATTGCCATGGGTATTTTTGAAAAAAAACTCAAGAATAAAAAGAGCTAGAGAACTGCGAGTTTCACCAATACGTAGACATACGACTATTCGATATATTCTCTAGTATGTGATGAAGATCCTTGTAGATTCAAAGCTTTGTCACTACCAATCTTTGAAAGAGTTCGTTACAATTTTTTGAAGTCTCATAGGAACCTATGTATCTAAACTATGTAAAAAAATGACCCGAAGGCTTCTCTAAAAAATGAGGCAATATCCATCCCTCTAGTTTTTCTAATTCTCAAATGGTATTAATTTTTCTCAGGTCTGTTGTTGCTGCCTTTTCTCATTAGGATAATGCACGAATGTGTATAACTAAGTACACTTTTTATTAGTTTTCTTTGTGAGAATGACTATTCAAGATTGTCAACAACTGTCTTAATTGAAAATAAAGAGAAGACTATGTAACAGAAAAAAAAGAAACCACGAATTCCAATTGTGTTCTTGAAATATAGAATAATATTAAAAAATGAAAAATAAGTGTAATTTTATAAATGGTACACGAAAAAATGTTAGTTATTGAGGAAGATCGTATTTTATCCTTGTATAATATATTAGTTGAATTTTTACCGTCATAGATGCGTAGCCATATCAAATGGATAAAATTGACTCTGCATGACTAGAAAATATGCAACAAACTTTGTTTCCATGAACCGAGTAATGGCTGTTTCAGTAAATTTTCGACCTATAATTTTATTCGTAGACAGACCCCATAAGTTTATGAATATTGTGAACATTTCAGCTAAAATAAATGTTCATCTATCAAAATATTGAATTTCCAACAAAGAGTTTTCTATGACAAATATCAATTTTATTTGAAGCTATTCTGAGGCTATCTATGAACAAAACTACAAGTCGAACTTCTATTAGTTGAACGTCTAGTTAATACCTAAAATAAGCCGAAAAGTAAGTAATAAATTCGAGTAGGTTCACAGTTGGATACCTGTATATATTGTTGAATCCAAATAAATAAGAGATCTAATAAAAAAAAAGAAAAACTAAAACAAAATATGTAATGTAGAAATGAAATACTTTGATTTCGAACAAATATTTCTCAATGGTGATTAATCTATAAAAATTCAATTTGAATTCAATAATAGAACATTTTCAATTTACCATTTGAATTTATGTTTTCCTTATTACATTTGCAAGCAGAAGAACGATCTTTAATTTCTGATGATGATGGTGGCTCAACTTTCACCATCATTTCTAAAATTAAAATAAACAGATAGACAATAAACACAAAATGAACCATTTTTGTCTAATTTAGTTTGTATCTGAACAATATTGACGCAATCGCTTGATTAACTTGTTCAAAAATATTTTGTGCTTCATCAATTGAATTATTTGGTACATCAAGAAATCATTTTGTTTATTCAAACAAATTTTGTTCGCCTCTAATTGTTAATAAGTTTTTTTCAATAATTAGTGTAAGTGTCGTTATACCTGTATTTATTTCATTAGGAACACTATCTAATCGTCGTTTATTTTGTTTTGTTATTTCAATATGTTCAATTAAATGATTCAAACAAACAAGACGTAAACAAGAATGACATTCATGCAAATCTTTGATTAAGTCATCACATGTTATATCATTACACGAACTTATTTCGGACATTTCTGAAATACAAAGATTTTTTATGCCTGCAATATTTTTGCTGAGATATTATCCTTGTCACTATGAATGAAATGTTTAAAATAATTGACAAACTTTCGACTACTAGCCTATAGATATCGATGGTTCATCGAATGATTTCCTTAACAAAATTCACTGATGAAAAAGCATTTGAATAGATGTAGAAATTTAGAATTTCAGTCTTGTCTAAGGTACTTTTCGATAGATATAGAAGTAGGATTGAAAATACAATCGAAGAGTCCTAATACAAATATTCTTTTATTTTTGTTTTTTTTTTTTTTTCTAAAAAATTTAATTGCATTAAAGTAAATAATACATTAAAAGAAGAATCGAATTTCGCTCCACTATACTAAATATTTATCAAGCTTATGCGATCTATTATTTCTTCAATTGATGGAAGAAACTTAACAAAAGTGTAGAAGAGAGAGAAGAGTAGTGGAAAAATGAACTAAGAATAACTGATAAATAATACATGAGCAATGACGCGTCTATATTTGCATGCAGAAGAGAGAAAAAGAAGACAATAATGATACAGAGAGCGATTGCTTATTGCGATGAATGTATGACTGATGAATTCATCATAATATTCGAGAAGGTTTTTTGAATAATTTGTTTACATACTTATGAAAATTCAACATCTAAAAGGAAAACGGCAATACATCGAATATAAGAAATCTTGAAATGCAAGAGAATGATTAAATTCAAAATATAAAAAATGTTGAATAAGAAATGGGAATGTTGGAAATTTTTCAGAATTTCATTTTCCAAGAGTTTACTTCTTTTAAGTAGAAGAATATTTCGATCTTTTTATTCTTCTTAAATGCAAAAATAAAAACAATAGACAAAAAAAAAAAATTTATTATATTTTTAATTTAAATACACGCTGACATAATTTTGAAGTAAATATAAATAATCAATTCATATTGTATTTTTCGCATCTATTGCAACCAAAAAAGGCAATTTATATATATATTCTTCGATATCGATTTCTGCATTATCAAATAAAATTGAAAATTTTTTAAGATTATCTTATGTAAGGAAAGAACCTCTATCTTTTTTTTTGAAGATTTTTCAACATAGTTCAACCAAAAACTATGAGACATTCAGAACACATAAATTACAATGAGTACAGCAAAAGTTGTCATGGACTCGAAATCACCAAGTGATTTCTACAGAAAAATATAAGGTCACAAAAGTCAAAAATGGTCGGATGCTTTCTCCACAAAAATTTTCACTTAGTTTCTTTTTGCTGCAATTTTTTTTTCTTTCTTTTAAAGATATCCTTCCTAGTGTCCGAGAGAGGCAAAATACCGATAGCTCTATTAAAAAACGTGTTTTTTCAATGGCAAAAGTATTTATTAAAAAGCAAAACTTCAAATTAAACCAATTGAACCGCGAGAGAGTGAAAAAAAGGGAAAAAACTTCAAGTTTTCCTGTGAAAATTTGGTTTTAAGAATTTTTCCCTTCGCTAAAATATGTTTGTCAGATAGAAGACATTTAAATTGACATATCTAATACAAAAAATGAGAAATGAAGAAGCAGAAAATTTTGAGTTGGAAAAAGAAAGGAAGTCAACTTACAGATCGATTTCATTTGAGATCAATTTTTTTCTATCTCTTTAAGTTGATTATCAAAGTTGAATTAATTACAAATAACTAATTCATATAGATCAATCAATATTGAAATCAAATGACAACATATATCTTTAAGGCTGAAAAATCAAATTAGAATAGTATTATTTTAATCGCTTTTTAATCTTATTTTTATTTCTTTTTGCATCAACTATTTTTTCTTCATTCTCAACATATAATTTTGGCTTCTTGTTTATTCAATAACAATGAAATGAATGAACCATATAATGTGTGTGAATTCACATTCATCATTTTAATATCATTATGTGTATTTGTTTATGAATTGCAATGCATTGATAATAATCTAGTTAAGAAAATGGTGATTTAAATGATTTAACTTGATCATGAAAAGCCTTTCTGAATTTCAACAAAAAAAACTATAGAATTTTCTACATGTTGGATATGCTCATCTCACAACATTGTTGTATTTCACTGAGAAAAAACGATTGAACTCAAATTAAAAACTTATAAACATATTAATGCGTTTATGAGGTGGATATAGGTAAGATTGAATCATGTAAATGATACAACTGATAAGAATTTTACTGTGTTAACCATCGAGTATAGATATCATTTATACAGGAAGAAAAACCATGTCATCAAATTTATAAAGTTTCAACCAATCAAGAAATTCAAAATGCAAACAGTGAAGCACATAGACAAATCGTATATCTCTACATTCACTGCCCTGCTTGTAAACGTTTCATGTTTCCTTACAGTAATTTTGTTTATCGCATGCATTTGTTAGGGTTGGAGCTTAATATCTTTCTATATAATCAATCGAAATATTCAAAATTCTTTTATCAATACATCATGTTTTCTATTGTGTTGTACTATACATAAATATAAATACCAACAGTGTCAACTAGATTCATGTTCTTATCGTACTTATTTCGATGAAACATTTCACTTCTCATATCCTATTTCCAACCAAATAGAAATAAAAAGTGTTTACAAAGCTCTTAACTAGAATCAACCACATCAAGAAACACAGTTATGGTTTTTATGTTATTTATGAATGATTCAATTATATTTTTGTTTGTTCATTATCATTTAGATTGGTCAAAAATATACTTGTTACTATCAAACATCAATTGTTACTTGGGTCATTTTGAATCTTCCAAATTTGTGCTGCTTTTGGACTTCTTGGTGTACCTCCTCTTACATTATTAGTTTGTTTTTCGATCTATCTGATGATGATAAAATAAATTGTGATTGTTCGTATTTACCAATTGGAAGAGTCTTTCTCAAAAAAGAATAGTGATATATGGTAAAAGAAATAAAACTTGTGGAATAAAGAAACAAGAGCAAGTTAAATTGGATCTCACAGATTTTATGTTTAATACTTGTAATGAAAATAGCATTTGTTTTTAATGATATTTATGATTGATAATAAATCTTATACTGATGTGAAATTTCATGAATATCTGTTCATTGGTTAAAGTGTGGGGTGAGGGTGTGGGTGTGGGCATGGGTGTGGGGTGGCTGGGTGTGGGTGTGGGTGCGGGGGTAAAGAGAATAGGTACACCCACACCCACACACCCATACCTCAAATCACAAAAATTCGACTCCAAACTTACATTCACTATACGTTTCTTTGAAAAACATGTAAGTTCTATTACACGTGCTCGTTATATGATTATAGAATTGATTTCGGGTTCGAAAAGTATCGGAACAATTGATTAGATCAATATAAAATACATACGTTTTTTACATTTAATTGAATTTCTAATTGTTTACAACGAACTTCATCGATTAAAGATTTGATATTCGAAATTCTAAAAAAAGCATAATTTTATTTTATAGATTTTGCACAGTCTGTTGAGTATTTCCTGATTTCTACTACGTGTTTTAAAATAGAAAATGGGGTGAGACGATAATTTGCGAACGATAGGAAATATTGCAAACTGGCTTCGGTCTAATTTTAGCGAATTTTGTGGCATATCGATTTACGACAGACAAGTTTTTACTAATCGGATTCCAAAAGAACTTGTAAGTGAGTCTTTAGAAAACTAGAGATTCAAGTAGTGAATTCAAAATTTAAAAATATATATTCCATAGAGAAAATTGTTCCATGTCGAACTACCGAAACTTAAGTCAAAAACTAGATCTAGACAGCAGTAATTGACCATGCTGAGTCGAAAACGATCTACTACTATTATATACAGATTTTCAAAACATCAGCTGTTGACGTTATATAGTGGAAAAATGCTAAAATTGAAAAATCTGGATATAATTATAGTGGATTGTTGTTGAAACCGAAAAACTAATACCATTAATTGATTCAACAAGGCCAATCAATCATTTATAGATTTACCTTTTAACTAATTCAAAGTCAAGTGGCTGAAATCGAAGGTCTTTGACAAGCCATTAGAACTCTTGAACAGTACTAGCTTTCATAGCTCGAAAGTGTACAATTTTCTCTATCGAATACATATTTAAATAGTATAAATTCAATGTGCCACGAACTTGGCTAATAGTTGATTGAATTCGTTTTTCAATATCTCTTATCGTTAGCAAGTTATCCAAGTTGCAATAATGTCTCGTCTATTTTGAAATGTGTAGAGATCGAGAACATCCCACAAAGTGTGCGATGTCTTCCGTCGGGTAAACTTAATGCATCCAAACACTGTATTTTCTTTTGTTTTGTACAAACCATTGCAAGAATTTTATATTTTAATGTGTTTCATTTAAAACTGTATCAGAAAGAATCGCGCTTTATAGCTAAATATTGTACAATCCATTTTCATAATTGTTCATCATTATTTAATAAATCTTTTAATTCTTGTGTCTAAAATATCACAAACGAAAATATTAATTGTTTTGTATTTTGAAAAATAAAACCTTTTGACAAAGATTCGAAAATGATGTAAGTTATTAAATGTAAATGCAATTTTATCATTAATATGTTCAAGTGGCTGTTTTATTCGAACAAGATTATAAATTAGGTTATTGATTAATGTACGAATATTTGCATTTTGTATTAATGATGTCTAAAAAAGGAAAATAAATGAAACATAAAAATTTGAGTTTAGTTGTCTTATTCTTTTTTTTATAAATAAACATGCCTTTTTGCGTAATATTGTCTTTTCCAATAGAATTAAATGGTTGTTGTCATCGATGGTATACCATTCATTGTTGAAAACATGTGAAATCATC